CTTTGCTGAGCTGCTGTGGGCTCCGCCCAGCTGCCAAGTGAACTTCCTGGCAGTCCTGTTTATATGGGTGTAGTTAGAACTGCTTTTGTGATGGTGGCCCGCCTCTGTTGAGGCGGAGTCTCTCTGTAGTGGCGGGTTGCCTTGGCAATGGTGGGCTGCCTCAGCATTGGTCGACTACCTCGGTCTTGGCAGGCTGCCTCGGTAATGGTGGACGCCCCTCCCTCACAGAGCTGGACCATCCCGGGTTCAGCTGCGCTTGCTGTGAAACTCTCAATCCAGAGCTTCTGGTTGCTGTTTTTTTGTGGGGGTGGGGCCAGCCGAGCCTGATCGCCTGGCTCCCTGCCTCAGAGCCTTTTTAAGTTGGTGTTCCAGTCGCCTGTTGAAGAGGCGCCGGGGTCTGTTTGTTTTCCCCTGCGGCCACTCATTGCGCTGGCTTAAACAGCGGCACTGAGGTTTGTGGCGCCTTTTTTTTTTTTTTTTTTTTTTTTTTTGCCCTGGAAGCTACTTTCCTGGTTCCCTGCTCAGTCCCCTTTTTAAATAGACAAATAGGCGAGTTCCCGTGCCTCCAGTCACCAGCCAAAAGGGCACCTGGACCGGTGTATTTTGTACGGAGAAACGCTGCTCTGGGGTGCCGACAAAGCAGCCACTTGGGGCAAAGCAGCGGCGCCGGCCGGCACAGCCGCACTGGCCAAAACAGCCATGCTGGTGACCGGTGGAGCTCCTCCGCCTGGGAATTGCCTAGTCTGTGGGCAATAAAAATGCAGCGTCCACTCACCCTCTGCGCTTTCACTGGGAGCTGCAATCCTGAGCTGTTCCTAAACGGCCATCTTGCCCAACATTATCTTAACAGTGGTATGATTAAATATTCGAATCACTGTTTTTACATCTTGATAGTTTTAGTTTGCACTTGTCTGATGACTAATGAGTCTAGGATGGCTCCTACATACCTACCTTGATATGGGTTTGGGGTGGTGAAGGAGACAGTTCACAGAGATAGATAATGCAAGAGGAGAAAGGGGAAGTTATAGAGTATTACGGTGTGGGGGTGTTAGACAGTTAGAAACATGAACTGAATTTTAGAAAAAGATATTGGAGAAAGCACATGTTTAAAAATCAACATGAGATGACTTTGAGCAGATAGTGGAATGGGAGGTCACCTGCTCATATTCCCACCACAAAAACAAGAATTCTGTACGCACTCACAACAAAAGTCTCTCTGTAAGAGTCTAGGGATTCAGTTACTGCCTTTCTTAGCCAAAAATTGGAGCAGAACAGACAGCCCAGGGACCCATCCAATGACTTATCAGGAGCCTTCCCAGAAACCTGAAGGAAGCCAGACCCATCAACACACTTTGGAAGGAATATGAACATATTCTTGGGAGAAATATGGACATACAGATTCAGGAGGCTCAAAAGGTCTTAAGCAATACCAATTCAAAAGGAATACTCTGAGACACATTATAATCTAATTATCGAAAGTCAAAGGCAAAGAGAGAATCTTCAAAGCAGCGAGAGAAAAAACTGTCACATATAAAGGATCTCCCATAAGACCATCAGTAAATTTCTCAACAGAAACCTTGCATGCCAAAAGGGAATGGAATAGCACATTCAGAATGCTAAAAGAAGAAAATTTCCAACCAAGAATACTACACACGGAAGAGCTGTCCTTAAGAAATGAAGGAGAGATAAAGAATTTCAAAAACAAGAAAAGGATGAGACAGTTTATCATCACTAGATTGGCCTTACAAGAAATGCTAAAAGGAGCTCTTCCAGTTGAAACAGAAGGATGACAAGTATCAATATGAAGACATGCGAAAAAATAAAACTCACTGATAAAAGCAAATGCATAGTCAAATTCAAAATACTGAAATACTGTAAAGGTGCTGTGTAAATCACTCTTAACTCTAGTATAAAAGTTGTAAACAAATGTATTCAAAACAACTATAGCTATAAATAATTGGTTAAAAGATATACAATATAACTAAATATAAAGTATTCCATCAATAGCATAAAATATGGTGGTGAGAAGAAGCAAAATTGTAGGATCTTTCTATGCAATTGAAGTTACGGTATTATCAGCTTAAATTAGGACATTATAAGATGTTTTATGTATGCCTTATGAAAGCTACAAAAAAGACTAGTAGATACACAAAGATAAAGGGGAATCAAATTATGATTTATATAATTATATATATTTATATAATTATATGTTATATATATTTATATAATCATATATATTTATATTATTATAAAGACAGGAAAGTTGGGAGAAATGAACAAAAGAACTACAAAACAGTCAGTAGAAAATTAATAAAATGCCAGTAGCAAGTCCTTACCTATTAATACTTACATTTGATGTAAATAAATTAAATTCTCCCAAAGAAAGAGTGGCTAAATGGATAAAGGGACTCATTTTAGCCTTAAGCGCACATGTCGATTGAGAATGAAGGTCTGGAAAAAGATATTCCAGGAAACTGGTAATCAAAAGAGAGGAGGTGTGGCTATGCTTATATAAAACAAAATAGGTGATAAGTCAAAAACTATAAAAAGAGACAAAGAAGGACATTATATCACGATAAAGGTGTCAATTTATGAAGAAGATATAACAGTTTTAAATATATATGCATCCAATATTAGAGCTCTTAAATATATAAAACAAATATTAATAGATCTGAAGGGTGAGATAGACTATAATACAATAATATTAGAGACTTCACAACACTCCACTTTTAACAAAGGACAGATCACCTAGACAGAAAACCAATAGAGAAATAGTGCCACCCACCCTTAAGAGAAAGGCATTATGTAAAGTATGTCATACCATGATGCAGGAATCCTGGAAGGTCTTCTTAGAATTCTGCTTACCATGCTTGCTCCAGATGGCTGGTTAAATGACTTTTCTTTGTTTAATGGATCCAACTTGCTGATCACTGCTAGGTGAACAAGTATGCAATAGACAGGTAAAGAATGGTTAGTCTGTATCCTAAAGTGTAGATGTAGCATTTTTCTCAACAAATGAAAACAGCACTAGAGTCAACTTTTTTATTTTGAAGAAGCATCAATGGCTTTTATTTCCTTACATGTAAACCTTACACTCTCCAAATAATTTACTTTAAAAGCAAAAGAAACTTAATACTAGAAATACGACAAGGTATTTGCTATTTCTTATGTTAGTATTTGTCGGAAATGATTTTTATATAATGAATTCCTGCTGTAATTCTTATTTGACATCAGGTAGTTCCACCCCACAAGTTTTTTTTCTCACTGAAAAGCCAGACCTGGTGGCTCATGCCTATAATCCCAGCACTTTGGGAGGCTGAGGCAGGCGGATCATGAGGTCAAGAGATTGAGACTATCCTAGACAACATGGTGAAACCCCATGTCTACTAGAAATACAAAAATTAGCTGGGTGTGGTGATGCATGCCTGTAGTCACACCTACTTAGGAGGCTGAGGCCGGAGAATTGCTTGAGCCTGGGAGGTGGAGGTTACAGTTTTTTCTGACAGTTCTCCTGATGTCCAAATTGGTTGCAAGGGAAGCCAAGGACCACCAGGCGCCCGGGAAAGCGGCATTGCAGCTCGTTGAGCTGGGTGAAGTCCCGGGTGGTTGTGCCTCACAGCGAAGCCACATTCTCAATCAGCATGGCCCTGCGCCGGAACATGTTTAAATCTACCTTCTCCCCATCCAGGCTGATGGCACTGAGGTCGTAGAAGGACTTGGCAATGAAAGCCATGGTGAAGTGCAGAGTGAGCCCCGCAGAGAGGCCTGAGCCCACTTATAAATGTATCCGAGGGGTGGGGAGGAAGGAGGAGCCAGGAAGGAGGCTTTTTTTTTTTTTTTCCCTGCATCTTGGTGGTCATATTTATTGGAAGGGCTTGAGAAAAATGAAAATACAATTTAGCTTAAGAAGTTGTGAGTTATCTGCAAATCAACTCATTTCAGGAGTGGAAGAATCCCTGGAATTATTTCTTAATATCAAAATGTATGCAGGTTTCTCTTTTGAATGTCTTGTACATTTAAAGAGGACCCTGTACAAAGTCTCCAAAGGACAAATTCTTTGTTTCAGCCAACTCTCAGCAGAGGGGCAACCAGTACAACACCATCTCCCCGGACAAAGAGCATTGGAATATTTCGTTTCTTTGATTTATATATCTCTTCATATGTTTCTTCATCAGTTTCTATAGTAGTCACAGTTTCTTCTACATCTCCTAAGATCATATTTAAATGTTGATCATAAGCGTGTAATCTGCCTCGAAGCTCTCTGTCATTTCTCATTTTCACATAAATGCGCTCATCTGGGCTGAGCCTGATAAGATCCAGCGGCTCCTCTACAGTGTTGGTAGTTTGTTGCTGGTCTACGTTGTCCAATGTTTCAAACCCTGAGCCCCTTCCCGCTTCTCCCGAGAACACAAGAGCAACGCCCATCTCCGGAAACAGGAGATAACGCCCTTGCACTCCAACCTGGTCACAGAGCAACAAAAGGCAGTCTCCTTTAGGACAGAAATCAGGAAATACCCCTAATTATGGATGCCTATTGAGATTTTTAAAGAAAACTGGATGTTTATATGGTTTGCCTAGGTGAAAATAATTTTTTAGCATTTTTAAAAAGTTCCTATTGATAGTTTCTTGATATTTATTTTTAAAATGTTCCAGTACTTTACAAATGCATATTATATAATTAATTAAGTAGAATTGAACATACCTTAAACTTGAGGGTGAAGGAAATAGTAAAAATCAGTGATCCAGAAAGAAACAGGCCTTTTATACTTTATTCTTAAATTATTTTAACTATATACATTATAGTATGCTGAGCATATATCTCTTGAATATGGCCTTTTTATTAAACAATCGAGTAGAGTAATGAAAATACTGATATTTGGAAGAATTTTGAGTAACACTAATTTCTTGGTGGTTTTACAGGGTTTATGCATAGAAGAAACTCAAAACTTCACTCATTATGTGATTCATCTCATAAGGCAAAACTTTAGCTTAAGAGAAGGCAACAAAAATCAGCAGTAAACATGTAAAATAAGTAACTCATATAGTTTTTAAAGTCTTATACATAACGCTTTTAACAGGTTTAGGGAAGGAAATAAAGATACCTGAAACAGTATTCACCTTTTTTCTTGTCCCTCTGCCAGGGCAGCTCACATCACTTCTGTAACACAACATAGTTGTAGAGATTCATTGGCCTATAGTGTGTGTGTATGGGGTGCAAGGGGATAATTAAATATTTGAACTGAGAATCATCATCAAAAAGAGTACTGCAGTGTTCGGTAGGGGCTTCCATTAACAGTGTAAGGCAATCTTTAAAATGTGGTTTCCTGGAGGAAAATAAAAATAGAGAAAAGAAGAAAAAGAAATGCTAAAGGAAAGGAAATGGGAAGTTTTACTCTTTTTCCCTACTAAAATGCAGGCATTTAGTGATATTCGTTAGTTATGGAGAATCAGAGACCCAGAGCAACCCCAACCAGGTAGAAACGAGAGTGGATTTGGGAACTGCAATCTTGACATGCAAACGGAAGTCCTTGGGAATGCCATGATAGTCATGGTCTTGATAGGATGGGGCCTCCAGGAACGTCAAAGGGCCTGGGCAGAGTAATTCCTCTGGTAGCTCTAAATACAGATGGCGAAGCAGGGGGGTTTGCTGCTTCCAACAATTATTTGTAAATTTCTATTTGATATTGTCATAGTAGATAGAGTCTATTAGATATAATCTATAACTTTATTAGTATTTGAAAGGAGTAAAGATTGGCAGGGTGGTGTAGTTTGAGATTCTTAATTTGGTGAGCAGGCTAGGAGGCATGTCTGTTTTCCTTGCAACTGGTGGCAGCATGATAGACTCATCCAATGGTGTTTTTTAGTTCTTTGCAACAAGTTGCTATTTCAGTAACAGATTAGAACCCCACAGTTGATTTTCTTTGAAGACTTATTATTGAAGAAATAAAATACATTTATTGTAATAGACTTAACATAAAAGGTTATCCTGTAGAAACTATGGATATGAAGCAGTATGTGGCTAAATGGGTTCCAAAGTGCTTGTTCTATCTTTCTACAAAATAGTAGCTTAACCTAGGAAAAGCTTGACTTGAGGAAAAGAAAAATATAGTATTTTCATCAGACATTCATTGAGCCCTTACCTTGGGCATTGTTTGAGGAACTGAGAATAAAAAGATAAAAAAATTCAGATTTCCTGCCCTTGAGGAGTTTACAGTCTAGCAAAAAATGCTACCTGGTACCTATGTGCTCTTATCGCAGTTAAAATGCAAAATTATGAACTATGTGTCCTTTTGGAATCATTTGTATAAAACAGAATCATAAAGACAAAGAGACTGCAGAGTATAATTATATCTAAGGTCTATGAAAAGTGTCCATACTCTAGCCATTGGTCTACATATTTTTATACGCATTGTATTCTATACTGCTGTGCAATGTACAATGACAGACTCTCAGAGACATACAAAAATAGACATTCATTTACTCATTTATCTGAGCATTGGCTGGAGTTAGCTAATTCAGGCTGTGCTCAACTGGGCAGCTCTGCATCATGTTTCTGTTATCCTCCTCCTGGGACCAGAGGGCTGTTCTTCTCTGGGCATGTTTCTCCCAGGGTGATGATAGAAAATAAGGACACCAACAGGCACCATAACTTTTTCCCGATTCTGTTAGCCAAAGGAGATCACATGGCCCACTTTAGTCAAGAAATAGGGCAAAAATTTACTCTTGTAGAGAAAGAAACTGAAAAGTCATATGGTAAAGAACATGGAGACAGGGAAGGCTGAAGAATTACAGTGAATAATGCAATATACTACAGTTATTAACTTAATTCTGGCAACAGCTTCATGAGGTAGCTATACTCAATACTCCTTATGTGTTAAAATGCAGGAAGGGGAGTATAGAGACCACTGCACCTGAAGCTAGACTCTACCGAGTATTGCTGGCTCTTCCACTTATTAATTATATGACTGTTAGCACTTACCCTTTTGTGCCTTAGTTTTCTCATAAGTAAAATGGTGATAATAATTTTACATACCATAAGGGTTTCATGAGAAACAAATGAATATGTGTGTAATATGTTTAGAACCATGTTAGACATATAATAAAAAGGCTTACTAAATTTTGGCCGTTTTACTGAATGGATAGTTAACATTTCTGGAAAGTTTTACTGTGATCACAAAGCCATGGAACTCAGTATTAGCAAAAATGATCAACAGCTCCTGCGTCTGCTTTTGCCCTGTGATGTGCCTGTTTTCCTTTTGCCTGCCGCCATGATTGGAAGCTTCCTGAAGCCTCCCCAAGGCAGATTCTGCTATGCCTCCAATACAGCCTGCAGAATTATGAGCCAGTTAAATATATTTTCTTGTAAATTACCCATTCTCAGGTATTTCTTTACAGCAGTGTAAGAATTGACTAACACAGAAAATTGGTACTCAGGAATGGGACGTTGCTGTCAAGACCTGAAAATGTGGAAATGACTTTGGAACTGGGTAATATGCAGAGTTTAGAAGAGTTTGGAAGGCTCATAAGAAGCTAGGAAAATGAGGGAAAGTTTGGAACTTCTTAGAGATTGGTTAAATGGTTGTGACCAAAGTGCTGATAGTATTAGGCTGGTGCAAAGGTAATTGTGGTTTTTGCTATTCAAAGTAACATATGGACAGTGAAGTCCACATTGATGGGGTGTCAGATGGAAATGAGGAACTTACTGGAAACTGGAGCAAAGGTCACCCGTTTTATGCCTTAATAAAGAACTTGCCTACATTGCGTCCACGCCCTAGGGATCTATGGAAGTTTGAACTAAAGAGTGATAATTTGGAGTATCTGGTGGAAGAAATTTCTAAGCATCAAAGCATTCAAGAATAATCTGGCTGCTTCTAAGAACCTACACTCAGAAATGGGAGCAAAGAAATGGCTTAAAGTTGGAAATTACAATTAAAGAGAAAGCAGAGCATAAATGTTTGGAAAATTGCAGCCTGGCCCTGTGGTAGAAATGAAAAGCATATTTTAAGGGCAAGAACACAAGAGGACTGTGGAGAAACTACTTGCCAGAGAAATTTGCATAACTGAAAAAGAGCCAAGTGCAAATATCGAACACAGTGGGGAAAAGGCTCAAAGGCATTTCAAAGATCTTTGAGACAGCCTTTCCTTTAACAGGTCCAAAAGCCTAGGATGAGAGAATGGTTTCAGAGGCCAGGCCCAGGGCAGCACTGTTCTGTATCACCCAGGAGGCTGCCCCTCATATCCTGGCTGCTCTGGCTACAGCCTTGGCTCCAAGGGCCCCAAGTACAGCTCAGGCTGCAGCTCCAGTGGGTGTGTCCATAAGCCTTGGTGGCTTCCATGTGGTGTTATTCCCGTGGACATGCTGAGTTCAAGAGTAAAGGAGGCATGGCAGCCTCTGCCTAGATTTCAGAGGATGTATGAGAAAGTCTGGATGTTCAGGCAGATGCCTGCTGCAAGGGTGGCACCCTCACAGAGAACCTCTACTAGGGCAGTGTGGAAGGGAGCTGTATGGTTGGAGGCCCCACACAGAGTTCTCACTGGTGCACTGCCTGATGGAGCTGTGGGATGGGGGCCACCATCCTCCAGACTGCACAATGGCTGAATAAACAGTAAGTCTGCAACTTCAGCATGGAAAACCACAAGGGAATTGACCAGGCCTTGGGATTCTACCTCTTGGATCAGTGTGCCCTGGACATGGGACGTGAAGTCAAAGGAGATTATTCTGGAACTTTAAAATTTAATGACTGCTCTTCTGGGTTTTGGATTTGCATAAGGCCTATGTGGCCCCTTTCTTTTGGCCAATTCCTCCTGTTTGAAATGGGAATGTTTACCCAATATCAGTACCCCCATTGTATGTTGAAAGTAAATAGTTTGTCTTGATTTTACAGATTCATTTGTGGAAGAAACTCCTCTCAATTATGACTTTGGAACTTGGACTTGGAAATTGTGATTGAGTTGGTGCTGGAATGAGTTAAGACTTTGGGGAGCTGTTGAGAAGGCATGACTGTATTTTGCAATGTGAGAAGGACATGATTTTGGGGACGAGAGGCAGAATTACATAGATCATGTGTTTGTCCCCATCCAAATCTCATGTTGAAATGTAATCCCCAATGTTGGAGGTGGGGCCCGGTGGGAGGTGTTTTGATTATGAGGGTGGATCCCTCATGAATGGCTTGGGCCATCCATTTGGTGATAAATGAGCTCTAGCTCTGAGTTCGCACAAGATCTTTTTGGTAAAAGTATGCAGCACCTTCCCCACTGATCCTCACTCCTGCTTTCACCATTTGATACGCTTGCTTTCCTTTTGCCATCTACCGTGATTAGAAGCTTCCTGAGGGCTCCCAGAAGCAGGTGCCACAATCTGCAGGCTTCCTGTAATGCCTGCACAACTGTGAGCCAATTACATCTCTTTTCTTGTAATTAAAAAA